GCACGTGTGTGTGTTTGTGTGTTTGTGTGTGTGTGTGTGTGTGTGTGTGTGTGTGTGTGTGTGTGTGAGAGAGAGAGAGAGAGAATGAAGTGGTCAGCACCTTCCCTTAGGAAGGTCTTGATGTCGCGGCGACAGTTCGGTCGCACGACCCTACTAAAATAGGTGCCGCTTGCTGCACCGTCCGGACCCTGACGTAACCTTACCGCCGCAGCACCAACCCACACTCACAGCCCACGCTCCCAGCCCTCAGCTATGGCTGCCTCCCTTGTCCTCCTCCAACTCCCTGCAGACCTCCACTCCACCAACAACACCTCCACCGGCAGCATCGCCCCTCTCCAGCAGCATGCAGCAGCCAGCCAGCATTCACACAAGTGAATGCCCCAGCAGCACTGCCACAATTGTGAGGCTGTTGGGTGCAGTGCTGGCTTTTATAGCCAGTCGAAGGCATGTGGGCAGCTGCTTTGCCCACAGCCAGGCAAAAATGTATGGGTGCTCCTGACCCTTGATCTAAATCGATGGCCAGGAGCTAGGAGCCTTGGTTTTCCCCCTAGGGGACCAAGATCGTCAACCCCCAGGAGTACCTGGCCATTTTCCCAGGCCAGATGCTCCTGGAAATGGCAGTATTTAGCCACTTACTGCAGCCTGCCCAAAACAAATAGGCGTAGTCCCATCAGCCCCTAGAAACTTCTGGGGGCTGCACCTGTTCCGCGGCCACGGCCACGTGTGTGGCTGTTACCCTCTCATTTTTCCTTTCGTCTTACCTACTCCCTCGTTTCACTGTACAGGGGGCAACCTGTCGTTCAAAACGAACGACTGCCCCCTCCTTTCAGTCAATTCACAGTGTTGAATTAGAGTCAGGCTTAGCAGGGCTTACTTCCATTGTATGCGCCCGTATCAAGCACAGTAAGTGTGCCTGATTCAGGCGCAGTTAGCTAAAGCCAACTTTAAAGGACCCAAAAGCATCGTTGCTCTGCATGTTTGGCTGCCACGAGCCAGCTACCCCCCAGTAACTTCTTTGCCACCTCCAGCTTCAAGTCCTAAAACGGCCCAAGGGCCTCCTTCCTTCCTCCCCATGCGCGCCCACACTTGGGCGTCAACAATGCTAGGTTCGTTCGATTGTGGAAAACTGCTGCCCGTTTTTAAATACGACCGGATGCAGCTTTATACTGCCACGACGTTTGGGGGGGGGACTAAAAGAAGAATAAGAAAAAAAAGGGGGGACTAAAAGAAGAATAAGAAAAAAACAATCTCAAAGAAAATCTAAGAATGAATCTAAAAAAAATAATTATAAATAAATGGGAAAAAATGGACTTACATGCAAACGGTCGCCCGTTCAGAACGGACACCTTCAAGTGCACTGGGGCTTAAGTGCCCCAGTCACTTCTATTTGCGCCATGTGGTGCTTTGATTTTTTTTTTTTTTTTTTTTTTTTTTTTTTTTTTTTCTGTGGCCTCTTCGTCGAAACGAACGGGCACCTGCTGGCAAAGAAGATTGGATCATATGTCCGAATGTGGACGAAGTTATGGAGAAGCGCAGAAATCGAGATTGAACTGTTTTTCTGCAGCTCTGCATAAAACACATCCAGATTTAGGAGCTCGATCCTATCCTTTTTGCTAGTGGGACCTCGGCTCTAAGCAATAAAAAGCAACGAGGGGGAGGGATCTGAAAGAGAAAAAAATCTAGAAAAAATCTAGAAAAAATCTAAAAAAAAATCWAAAAAAAAAAAAAAAAAAAAAAAAAAACTTACGTTGGAAACAGAACGAGTGCCTACAACACCCTTTGGGGACTATAAGTCCCCAGTTAGTTCCCAGCGCTTCACCTGGCGCTTCACTTTTTCTTTCATTTTTTTTTTTTTTTTTTTCCTCCTCCATTGGGCTCAACCAACGATCACGTCACTCCCTATGGCTTTTCAGCCATGCCTCACACGATGTAGACCCGAGTTCGGTCACAGTTGGGATCGAAAAAGAAAACCTGGGCCGTTTCTCGATTTTTGCATGTCATCCTTGAAAGGGACCATTCTCGATCTGCACAACCGGATCTCGGCCGTGCGATCTTTGAGATCGCGCGGTCAAGATCGACCACGCCATTTGGTTGCGACAGTTGCTGCTCCAAAAAGGAGTTATTCCCAGTAGGGCGTGACGGTTCAATCCCGATACCTGTCAGGTCAGAGTCGAGCACTGTAACCTATTGGGCTAGCTCCTATCACAATAGTGATAGGATCAACTCTGTTATAAGAAGAGTTTGCCCAGTTGCTATCTTCCCTGTCGGGGCCCTGCAGACCCTGCCTGCCTGAGGCTTTGCAGGTTTCACCTGCTTGAGGCCCAACAGGCCTCACTTACTGGCCTTACCCCGTCGGTTAGCCGCGTGACTATGGCTTAACTGGTCGCCTAACCGGGTGGGCCTCGGCATCGGCCTGTCGACCCCTTAGCTTGACGTAAAACCCCGCGGCCCTGGGAAAGAAAAAAATATTTTTATTGCGTCGAGACCCCATACCCGACGCATCCCTCTTTTTGGCCTACATAGACCTTGAATCGCGCGGCTTAATATGTCTAACATTAGCATTTCCAAGTCCGCACATTCCTGTGGCTCCGAAAAAAAACGAATCATTGCCATTCACATCCATTACTTCCGGACGCCACATGAGTCCGGACTAAAGTCCAAAAACTTTTAGTCTCTCAGTCATGGGTCAGGTCTGAATAATCTTTTGACAACGTAAGTCTCATCAAGTCCTTCAATCAAACGAAAGAGTCGGACAGCGTCCGACGTTGAAACCCCCGGCAAACACCCTTGTCAGGGTAACATCGTTCTCATTCCGTCTTCATATGCTACTGGGCATATCACCAGTGTCTCGGCTGGGTTCTTATCCATCGAACAGAACACCATTCCGTCCCACCTCCTCTTCAAGTTCTCAATTTCATCAATCAAACCATCATTCATCATCCCTTCGCCTTTACTTCTCTTTTTCTTGATGCAAGCATTTGCTTGACATGGTGTCCACGTAGGACACAACCCAAACTTCTTCATTTCTTCGTTTAGCTTGTTACAGAGCTTCATTGCATCCTTTCCACTGTCAATTCCCTAAATCATATTCTTCGCGTTGCAGATCCTCTCGTCAACATTATCTTTGCTGCTTAAGCGAAAAACCACGTGTTCTCCCTGTCGTGGGAGATCAAGGTTTGCACAACAACAAACACTAGCCATTAGACGATTGAACTGTCTATGGTTATGGAGAAGTCCTCCGACCGTCTGGTTCTTTCTCCATACAAGTCGGAGCTTCTGACATCGTAGCGTCACCTCTACTTCAGAATGGCACTGCGATTTTATCTTACTAACCACTAACTTCCTGATCTCCGTCCGTGCTATCCTATCATCGTACCTAACTCCTACAACAACTTTCTTCCTCGGACTGACCCCAAACTTCCTCTTCCCTACTCCATCCAACAGATTCTTGAGCGTTTTTTTGAACTATTTCTTGAAAAGCTTATGACTTCAAAGTAGAGGTGTATCAAATCATCCAGCGTGACCAACTCAAGTTTTTTTTTTGTCCACGAACACTTGAGTAGTTGATGGAGTTGTTTCTTGAGCTTCGAATTTCCTGACTGTCTTTCCGTTACACGTATAAATCTTATCTCTCCTCCTTCTTCCAAAGCAGACTTCACTTTCTTGAGTTTACTCTTCTTCCTCATAATCAGCAAATCCGAATTTCCAAATCTTCTTGTAACAACGCTCCAATCCTCCACCCACAATTTTCCTCCACTTCAAGTTACCTGTCTTTCGTTATTCCCTTTGATCTGTAGGATCACTTCCGTGAGTTTACCGGTAATGCCGATATTGCCGCCCTGAAAACGTATCGCTTTTTCGTCCTTAAATAACACCCTCATCTGCGTTTTTTTCTCCCGTCTTCCTTTCCGTTTCTTTTTCTTACGTTTTCTTACATCCTTCCACCCGTTTGAATTCAACACAGGGCACCATCACTTGATCAATGTCTGTTCTAATTTTTATAGCTCCTGTTTTTCCACAATGGCTACTAGTATAGCTACGTAAGATTCCCATCCCTACTTCCTTAGCCACAAATATAACTTATTCCTCCGAATGAGATTTTTCGACTTAGCTCGTCCTACGTGTTATGACCAGCGATCGCTTAACTTCCTTTCCGTCTTGCCTATATAGGTGAGCTTGCACCAGGGGTCCAAAAGAATATACACACAGGACTCGGGTGCATCCCACGTCTCTCGTGATTTTACGAGTACATCCCACATACATTCAACATACTTCCTCCCTCATGTGATCTCGTTCTCCAAAATCAGCAGTAGGACAACGTTTCTTAGTATTCTTTCAATAAGCGGTAACAGTGACTTAGTCCATCGGTTAGATTTACACCATTTCTGTTTCTCTAGGAACTCACGGAGAACGGTCAAACTCTCCGAATTACTCGTCTTGTTCTTCTTGGGGTTCTTGAATCTCGCCCCTTATTTGCTCCTCCTCTCCTGGTTTGCTCGATGTCGAGCCCGACGATTTCTTACCCCGATAGCAGTAGGTAACCCTTAGTTCGGACAGAGTGTCCACTGCGTCATTTATTCCATGAAAGGATAACCCCACTCCCTTACATATCGCCTTCAAGTTCAGAGTTTCTGGGTAAAAGGAAGCAATAGCCTTCCTTACCGCCTTCCTGTACACTGATTCTGTTGCGTACTTGTCACCCATCGGAACTCCTTCCCATGGATCTTCACCTTTCGCCAATCGTGCTGCTTGTGCATCAACCTTAGTTGGTCTACCTCTTCCTCTGCGCTTTTGGTTGGCCGGTGTACCCGCCTCTTCCAGCTTCCCCAACTTCTTTGGAGTTTCCACTGGTGGGCTGCTTTCTACCACGCTTGTAGAATCGTGGCGCTTCCGCTTGTCTTTAAGCGGCGTGACTTCTTCGGCCTCTTCTTCATCTTCTTCCGATGTTGATGATGACGTCTCGCTGCTTTTCTTCTTCCTTGCTCCAATCGTTATCTCTTTCATATTCCGATTTAAATCGACCAACTTCGCCAACTTCACTTCATATTCTTCTCGTTGTTGTACTAGCAGCTTCTTTATCTCCCACTGACGTCGTTTCTCTTCTTCCTCTTTTTCTAACTTCCTTGCCATTGCAGCTTTCGCTTCTTCCTCTTTGGCCGCTTTCTCCTCTTCAACTTTCTTTCTTTTTTCCTCCGCTTCACGTTTGGCTTCTTCGACTGCTTTTTGCTGATCCAATCGTTGTCTGACCATTCTTCTCACGGAGCTCAACGATTTCTCCAGCTCTCGACTTATCGACACTGTACCTCCACTTCCTCCGCCCTTTCCTTGCAGACGGGGGCACTGACTTCTGTAGTGCCTAATTTCACTGCATTTGAAACATTTCACACTCCATAATCCTCGGCGGAGGATCCCTTATCATCTCGTCTTCGCTTCCGCTCTCTCCCACGGTCGCATCTGTCCTCGCCACTGTCCCATCCGCCATTATCATACCCTCTATGTTTGTCGTGCCTTCCCCACGACTCACTTCTCCTACTCCCCATGGTGTAGTCGGTCGCCTGAGGTATCGTCCCCTTCCCTATGTCTTCCTCCTTCCGTCCCCCTAGCACGTTCAGGGCCTCGTTGCCCGTCTTCCGATGATCTTCACGTCTGTTGCAGTTCCCTAGTGTCGTATTTTCGCTACCACCAAAGTCCAAGTGTCTTCCCTTGGCAGCTTGCAGTGCTCAGTCATAGGCAAATTGAATTCGGTGTGATGTTTCACATGTAGGAAAACGCACAGCGAGTAAATTCATGCAAGATGAGACGTTCAGGACGGGCATATTATTTATGTTCATGCAAGTGTTTTTCCTTGGCCCCGGACCACTCTGGTAGCCTAGATAAAAACAAAATTATTTTATATTATTATAGGTAGGGTTGCCGATGTTCAGGACGGCCTGAACGCCCGAACCCGAACACCCGAATGTTCAGGACCCCCTTTCGACAGGTTCGGCCATTCGGCCGAACACAGAAAAAATCCAAAAAATCCAAAAAATATACAAAACATAAATAAATATAAAAAATAATAAACTGAATAACAGTTGCCTTAACGTTACATCCAAATTCCTTACCAAATTTGAAATTGAAAATAAAATACAATAAATAAATAATAATAATAAAAATTAGAAGAAAAAAAAATGAGAATGAAATTATTCGATGGGCGAGCACGTTTTTGACACTACCATCTTTGACATTTTTTTTTTTTTTTTGGCTTTGACAAATGCCATACAAATTTATTTATGTGTAACTTACATAATAGAGAACCTAAAAACAAGGTTTAAAAAAACAATAATGCTTTTTATGCCCCAAAATAAAGGGAAAAAAAAAAGTGGAAAGAGAAAATAAACAACTTCGTGAGTGGGCAAGCAAGTTTGGAAACCACAATCTTTGCAGTTTTTCATTATTTTTGGCTTAAACCACCAGTACCTCCGAGCCTGTTTTTGTCGACCCTGATTTGCACTGCGCTGCGAGTTTTGCCGAGCCTGGGTCCCACTCCATTTCTTTATGGTACTCTCACGGGAAGAAAAAAAAAAAAAATAAAAAAATTACGGTCGTGAAAACTCACATAACAAAAAAACGAAACAAAGCTCTGGGCGTGATTGCAGCTGTATACATTCTCGGAAGTGTTAGTGTGACTGTGCCCTCAGTGAGGGCATCTCAGGCCCGTGGCCAGGTTGTCAGATTCCAAAAACTCAGAAGAAAAAAAAAAACATGAACACGGATTCGGCCGTGAAAATGGTAACAACAGAAAAAATGCAAGGCGAATATTCTAAATTTTATGTGTTTACACAATACGAACATGTCCTTGATATTTGTTGAAATATGTGAAAGTCACATTTCCTTCTGTTGAAATTCACATTTTACGTATTCCGTAAACAGTTGCTCGCCCTTGAACACGCGCAGTGTATACCATCGCTCAGTGTTCGTCCAACAAATCTCAAYTTCTCTCAACACCTTTCAACATCAACCTACTATCTTCTGATTTCAAAATCATATCTTCGTAGTTGCCTCTGGGACGGTACTTTTCCGTCCGCCTTCCTTCCGGATACGTGGTCGATGATGACACATACGTGATTGACATTGTCACCTCACAACATTTGACATATAGAAATATACGATATGTACGCTGTTTTCGGTTGTGATTGTTGGAGTCGGCAGGTGCGTTGCAATTCCGTGCACATTTGTACCCCAACATGTATGAAGTAAACGCACCTGCTGACCACGACTTCCTGACCGCAAAATCGGTACACAAATTTTGTCATGAGTGGAAGTTAATCCACACACGATATTACTCATATTGTGTGTACCAAAAAAATAAAAAAATAAAAAATAAAAAAAATAAAAAAAAATAAAAAGATAATTATGTACCTTGTCTTCGATCCCGTTCAGATTTTCGAAGTGTGCCCCGAAGCGTGTCGCTCGGAAAGGAATTGTTGTCTACCCCTTTTAATTTATAGTTTTTTCAAATGTGTCTGACATTTATGTTTTTTTTTATGTGGAACAATTTTCGACCTTTCGGCTTTTTTTCGTAATTTTTTATTATTTAATTCTTTGTTTTAAGTTTGTTTTTTCATTTTTCGGTCCGTCCGCTCAGGTCCGTCAGGACGAATGCGCGTCGACTAACGGTCTATCCCGCTGAGCGAGTACCTTTGTCCGGACGATGTGACCCCCTGTTTATACGGCGTAATCTATGATTTTGTCCAAGGGTTATGTTTCGTATGTTTCTTCCGTGTCGATTTTGACAGCCTGATACCGTCATGTGGTGGGCCTGTGTTCACTATGAAAACCGCTTTTGTCCTCGATCACACCCTCACTTATGGGCGTTTTTTCCCTCCCCCGGGGGAGATGGGCCGGAATTGCACCCTCCGTCGGTGGACACAAACATGTGGTCGACACGATTTTCCTTTGCGGATTCCGTCCATGGGCTTTTGCCATCAGTACGACACAATTCGTGTTTGTCTTTTTCGTCAACTTCATTTTCCCCGTTTTTCCCTGGCGAATTGATGTGATAATCCCAGTCTATTGTTTACTGGTGTGCAATTCCGGTCGACATGTTTTTTTTGCCACATTCACCTGAGATGCATACGATTTTTGCACAGCAGTGCTACGGGGGTTGTTTATTTGTTTACGCAGCGGTTGGTTGGGCTGGATTTTTTTGGGGGGGGGGTTCAATTATTGCTTGGGTGTCTCCCCGACGTATATCATATTGGCGCGTCGACATCATATAAGGGGCTTCTCAGTTTGTGGCGTGCTTTGTCACAACTGTGTTCATGGGTCCTGCATTAATGAAATCCCTTGCTTTCATATCGACGACACTTCACATTAAACCACCAGTGCTTGACCCATACATTGGCTGCGGCCAATTGTCGTTGCCCACCGCAACTTTAAGGGCCTCGGGAACACGAACCGTCTTGTGTGAAAAAAACGGGCTGTCACCTGCTGTTTTTTTTTTTTTTTTTTTTTTTTTTTTTCGCTTCGTAGCACATCGGAGCGCAAACCCATAATGAGGCCTGCGGTGTATGGCCGGGCCAGGTTGTTGTTGTTTCAAGGCGGCGCGCGAACCCTAGCTGCCTAACCGCCAGTCCCTCCGACATCATAATATTGGGGGGACCAGTAGCAGAGGTCCATTACGGCTATCGGTCGTTCAGTGTGGACGACTTAAAGAGCGGCTACTGATGGACAATGTCGTATTGCATCTGTGATTTATTTCAGGGTAAAAATATTTTTCAACATAAATTATTATTATTGTTTTCCCCAGACACGTTGAGAAGCAAATCTACGGACCCTGCTTCATGGCGTTGGTGCCAGTCTTATGTTTTCGGGGGTTGTATTGTGGACGAATTCCGGGCATCC